GGACATTTTGCAGGTGGACAACGTGCGGGACACACTGGACGGTGGCGCGATTTGGGAGACGTGGTGCGGACCACCGCTCCCAGCGCGCCACCAAGAAGCCGAGTTTTGTCACGATAAATGGTGTCTGCAAACGATCGTGAGAGTGACCGAGGTTGGTTCACGAAACGCTTCAACTGTTCCTGCGGGGGGGGGGGGAACCAATTTTTTTCGACCCAAGCCTAAATTTTTTCTAAATAGCGCATGCGTTTCTATCTAAATGGTTTTTAACTGTTACCGAGCATAAAAACTACCCACATTTTAATTAAAAAATTTAATTTTAGGGCGAAAAATCCTATAGAACCTTTAGGATTAGCGCGGGGGGGGAAGACCCAAAATGACTAAATTTTCGAGTTTTTCAAATTTTTCTAACTTTCTTGAAAGGTTTTTCTACTTTCAATATAGTTAAAATTTACTAAAAACAATGTGAAAACACTTTATATTTGATTACTAGGTCAACCGGGAAAACCAGGAAAAAATTTGGTTCCCCCCCCCCCCCCGGAAATCCTAAAGAACCCCATCGGAGAAATTAATTTTTTGCTTTTTGGTAGTTCAGCAACAATGCATATTTCTAGGCTCTCCGTGCTCGAGATTTAGGCCTGGCCCTCGCTCTGGCGCCGCAGGCCAAAGGAAAGGTCCTCCTTGGCCCAGGCTCTCGCGCCGCCGGCCAGTCCTGGAGAAAAACCAGTAACTAGCGCCGCAGGCTCAAAGGTTCGAGCGGAACGCTGGCTCTAGCGCCGCAGGCCAAAGACTGGCGCTTTTACTCAGGTTCTTGCGCCGCAGGTTAAAAAAGAAGGTGTTCAAATTCATGGTTCCTGGACGGGGTCCAGTGGAAAATGGCCGCGAGGCGGTCTTTTTCCACTGGTTTAGCAATAATGCTCTGTTAATAGTTTGAGTATAAAATACCCAGATAGCCAAAATTAGCCCATATGATGCCGTTTAGCATGCCTGGTGCCTCGCCCGTCCCTCACGTCCCGGTCTACTGCACCGCAATTATATATGCTTGGACATGGACGGTTTCGACGCCGACGTCGAATTCGTGAGTGCCATCGTGTCTTCATAACACCCGGGAAAAGCGTTAGAGAAAGAGCGGGAGAGAGCGAGAGAGAGAGAAAGAGAGATAGATAGAGAGAGAGGGAGAGCGAGAGAGAGGGGGAGAGAGAGCATGAAAGAGAAATAGCAAGAGATAGAGAGAGGGAGAGAGAGAGAGAGAGAGAGAGAGAGAGAGAGAGAGAGAGAGAGAGAGAGAGAGAGGAGGAGAGGGAGAGAGAGGGAGGGAGGGAGAGAGAGAGGGAGGGAGGGAGAGAGAGGGAGAGAGAGAGAGGGAGAAAATGAGTGTGAGAAATCAATTACTTAATTTAGAAAGTTACTTTACAGGACAACTTCAAAAAGCTTATACTGGCGAGTGGCCGAGGTCGGACGGTGGAAGATCTGGAAGCCACGGATCCCGATGCGGAGCTGAGCGAAAAATGGATGGTCGACTGTGACCTCGTAAGTGTGCCATTTAAAAGCAACAACAGGGGGCGGGGACGATCATTCTTTCGAAAATATACATGTTATGATCCAAATCGAACCTGAGGTTTTCAACTTTTCTCAGATTATTCAAATTAGATCGGTGCAGGACTGGCCCGGAGGTCCATTTCCAGGCCAGTCCTGCACCGATCTAATTTGAATAATCTGAGCGGACCAAAATTCCGCAAAAAAAAAATGTGAAAAACTCGATGCATAGCAGCGAGGATAGGGTGTCCCAGGAAAAAACACCCCCCTCAAACTCGACGCAGAAGTATCGGATCCGAATGATAGATGTCCTTGAAACGGCGAGTTTGCAACAATCTTCAAAACCATGTTCTACTGAAATGCGCTATTTTACAAGACATTTTGTAGAATTTTGCTGTTTTTCAAGGTTGAATATGAGTTATTTTGCCTCAAAACAACAAACAAAATGACCGGAAGTGGCCGTGCCTTAACGTTTTTAAACGCGTTGTACCGTGGCGTTGTCAAATCAAAAAATGGTTTTGAAGATTGTTGCAAACTGGCCGTTTTCGAATGGTGCAACACTATCATTGCGGTCCGACACTTCTCCGTCGAGTGAGGGGGGGTGTTTTTTTTATTGGGACACCCTGTATGATCGACGATTTCTTTCGCAAAACGGGGATAACATTGCCATTTCAGGGTCCTTTCCGTCCTCTCGTCCGTCGCTATCTCCGGATTTCTGTCACTGGCAAAGGTGCGCGCTCATCTGTCTGCTAAGTAGTTGGCTTAAGTGCATTTTCCCCCCCGCCAGCCGACCCCCACCCACCGTATCTCGGCTCCCCGTTATCCTACAGGTGTGTAAAGTGTGCCAAAATGTTCGCCTTGCTCTTGCGAGTATTTTGGTATACCTTACACACCTGTAGACGACCAGGGAGCCGAGATACAAAAATTGGGCGCCGGCTGAGGGGTCGGGGGGAGGGGGTAAACTGCACTCTAACCGAATAGTGAAATTCGGACCTATGCGGACCGCTAGAGGGGGTAATTTTTTTGTGACACCCGGTAGCCTTAATCGGTATCGGACCATTTCGCCGAAAACCATCTCGCCGAAAACCATTCAGCCGAAAATCGAATTTTGTATGCAAATCTTTTGCCTTTCCAGGTCCTAGTTCCCGGCAAGCTAAATGGGCAAAATATCGGGCTTCACATTTTCACAACTGTGGTTGATTGGTCTCGCCGAGAAAAATTAACTTGATTCAGATAAAACGCATTATCACGGGGGTTGGGCAACGGCGATTAATTAGCAAGCGGAATCAAATCATTGTCTAATCGAAAGAGTTGGCGAGCAGGTCGGTGAATTCCATCGGAGTGTCATCTTAGACTGGTGACTGTACCGGCTAACTTGATAAAATTTGGTTCCCCCGCTGCCCCCGCTGAAAGCCCAGTACTGATACTCTACCGATATATCCTTTCTCGAACCAGACGATCATCGGGATCAAGGGACGACGACGAGACAATCTCTCATTTATCTGTCATAATGCCTGAAATTTCAGTACCCCAGCAACATTACCATACAAAATTAGATTTTCCGCGAGATGGTTTTTCGGCGAAATGGTTTTCGGCGAAATGGTTTTCGGCGAAATGGTTTTCGGCGAAATGGTTTTCGGCGAAATGGTCGGAATTCGCCTTAATCCTGTGAGATTGTCGGCCTCTTTTTAGACAAAAAAACCCACTCGTTCCTCTAGATTTCCTCGTCGTTTTCGAAATCCAGGAATTGGAGGAAGATATGGATGCAGCGGATGGCGCCGGAATTATTTGGATTTTCGACAAATGAGATGGACGTTCGAATTTACCTAAAAAGTTTTTGATGAGAAATTTTTCGGTCATTCAATTCAAAAAACTGAAAAAATTTCATATAAAGGTGCATTCGGCAGTACAGCTGCATACAGTACAATACAGTACGCCACACTAACTACGGAGAAAAGTAGCAGAACATCGGAATTGCGGCAATGTGCTCCTGGAAGCTAAAAACTCAGGGAAACATTGTACTTTTTTCTCTCAAAATTTCCATAATTGGGGGTTCACCTCGTCAGACGGCAGTAATTTGGAGGATATTGAGCCCCAAAAGTACGGTATACCTTCTAAATAGTGTAATAATCACCCTGCCACACTTTACCCACCTCCCGATGCACTATTTTGACTCCTACAGGCCAGCCAAAAATAGCCGGAAGCCTCAAAACTCGTCTCTCCCTGCCTGGATGGCCTCTTCCTCTGCCCCTCCTCCGGGCTAAAAAGTGCCCCAAACCGGTGGTCGTTAATTGTCGATATGCAAAATAGGCTAGAAAGGTGTATTTGGGCACAAATTTCTCTTGATTCAAAGTTGGCGGGATGGCGATTAGTGTGTATTTTCTTGCGGTATTTCTATGCCACGCAATCCACGCGCGCCAATCTATCGTCTATTGGTGTTGCATGGAATTCTCTATAGTCAATCGTATCAAAATCAAAACAAATTTGGCTACGCATCCGAAGTTGAGCCGAACTTTGGGCCTGGTAGTCAAAAGTCGCCAAAAATGTTTTTTATCAAATGCGTTTCCGAATCAGTTGGATCGTCAGACGACGGGATTCCGGAGATGAAGAAACTTCAAACGCACGGCACGCCATCCAAATCTGTAGAAAAAGTTGCAGAACATAGAGATGCGTGCCAATTTGGCGCTGGAACTTAAAATAATCGTGGAGAAAATCGTGTGTTTCTCCAAATTTTATATATTCCAGTAGATACGGATCGTCAGACGGTGGGATACGGAAGCTACAAAAGTTTCTGAAGCACAGTACGACATCTGGATACTGTAGAAAAAATTGTAGAACATCGGAATTTGTGTCAGTTTGTTGCTGGAAGCTAAAAATTCAGAGATAAATCGTATTTTCCTCTCAACATGCCGGTGTTTTTAGGGTCGACCTGGTCAGACGGTAGCGGTAATAATCACCCTGCCACACCTTACCCACCCCCGTTGCTTTATTTTGACTCCCGCATGCCTGCCAAAAATAGCCGGAAGCCTCAAAACTGGTCTCTCGCTGCTTGGATGGCCTCTTCCTCTCCCCTCTTCCGGGCTAAAAAGTGCCCCAAATCGGTGGTCGTTAATTGTCAATATGCAAATTAGGCTAGAACCGTGGATTTGGGCACAAATTGCTCTTAATTCAAAGTTGGCTGGCAGGCGATTAGTGTGTATTTTCTTGCGGGTCCCGCCACGACAATCCGCGCGCGCCAAACTATCGTCTATTGGTGTCGAGTGGAATGCTTGTCTATTGGTGGGTGATATGCAAATTAGGTCTTTTTGGGGGTGATATGGGTCCTGGGGGTATATAAAGGGGCGGGGGCGGGGCTATGGCATGCCGATTACAGGGTATATAAGGAGGGGATCGAGAGGGGGACCGTCATTCCCAAATACCTTCCAATTACCTACCGCCCCTACCCTCTGCCTGTATTCTAATTTAAGATGATGGCCATTCCTAGTACTACCGCCCCGACCACCCCCAAGTCGACGACTGCCGACTGCTCGACGCCGTCGACGAAATTCCTGCGTCGCCGTCACTCCATGGGAACCGTAAGTTTTTGAGAATCGATTACGATAGGATTTCAGAATCAGTTTAAATAGTTTTAAATTAGCTTTTAGCCTTTAAAGATTCATTGAATTTTGTCCAGGTTTTTTCCGTAATTTTTAATCAGCTTTTTAAGCAATTATCACATCTAATTGGCCTCTACAAATTTATTCTGAACCGTTAAAAAGTCGAAAAATTTAGGTTTAAGTTATATGAATTATTTGTATTTTTAGGCGATAGAAGTGCTTTCTAACCGATTTCGAGAAGTTTTTGCGCAATTTAACTTTATTTAACTCCTGTTTTCACTTGTAAAATATAGAAAAATTTATTTTTCCATTTCTAACCATATAATTCTCTGCTTCTGATCGATTACGACATCCTTATTTTTAGCCTTGGTTTTTTGCGAGGTTTTAATCAATCACGGCATGAATTTGGTGGTTGAAATACCGCAAATTTACAGTTTTTCATTTCTAAAATGCCTTAAACAATCCAATTCGCCTATTAAAATATATCAATCGCTAATACACGCGGTTATTGCAGTACTTCCCGGAGACGGCGGATCTGATGAAGATGGCCCCGATGGATGGCACTGTTCAACAGAAACTTCGCCGTGCCCAGCATCGACGCAGTCTCACCGTCGTCGAGTTGGCGGTAAGTGGCTATTTTATTTGATTAGTTAAATCAATTTTTAAATCTTTATTTACTTTAGAAATTTTCAAAAGCCTGTTACCCATTTTGTGGTTTGAGCCTTCAGAAAAAAAAATGGTTAATAGAGGACAGAGGAGAGGAAAGGACAAATTTTAGAGGGTTCGAATGCCCGATCTTTACATGAAGGCTTGTAAGTTTGGCCGGTCCGTTTTCTCTGTAGCTATTAAAACTATCTCAAAACTATCTGTTTTTCATGGATTTTTACATCAAAATTTGAATTATTTATCGTATTAATTACCAAACCTTTAAACTATAAGCTACAAAGCTTACAAAACTACAAAATTATAGCTTGAAATCATCTTTGAAGCAATTCGTTAGCGCAAAATTGATTTTCTAGCCTTGTTTTTAATTTTTTCAAAATTTCGAAGCTTTCCGAAGTTGTTTTTTTGCAATTTAGATGCCTGAAATTATTGGAAAGCTATAAACTACAACCTATAAAGTCCACACAATTTTAGTTGGTAGGTTACAGCCACTTTCCAAGCGATTAGAATGCTGAAAAAATGGAAATTTTTGCGGTTGTTCGAGATTTTTATAAAGTTTAAGACCTTCCGAAGTCGTTAGTTATGCTGTAGTTGTTCAAAATTCGTTGCAAAACCATAAACGACAGATTACAAGCTATTTACAAGCCACTTCCGATTTCAGCCCCTTCTCGTTGCGCAGCGATATGCGCTGGCAAAGAAGGCGCCTCGTCGCAGTCTTCGTGAACTTGCTGCTGCTATTGTTGATGGTGTTGATGGGGATATGGATCTACAGAAGACCCCTTCCCCAGTCATTTCTAAAGTTTCTAATGGAGGAGCCGTCGAAAAGGTATCGTTTTTCATAGTTTTAGCATTTTTCGATTCTTCGCGTAAATTTTATTAAATTTTAGTTAAGAAATGATTTTATATTATGGCCCGACCGGATTTTGGTATAATATGAGCTTTATAAACGCATACGGTTTTATTAAATTAATTTAATAACAATTCATCTACCAGCAAAATTAAAAAAAATCTTTTTGATCGAAAAATACAGTTTTTGGCGATTTTCAAAGTCTTGTCAATTTCATAAGATTAAATTTTGTCCAGGATTTCTAAAGTTTCTCAACAAAATTTGATAACTTAAAATAGAATTATTACATTCCGAATTTTGCAGAAAACGCGTCGTTCTGCCCGCCTTGCAAAGCCCGTCCCTTCCACGACGGCCCCTCTCCCGCCATCCACCCCAATCACTCGTCGAAGCCCGATGCTTTGAACGGGTTGGAGATGGTGGTCATCTTCATCCTCTTCTTCGTCGAATAATACGGTACTTTCCTTAATTACTGTATCGTCTACTGTATATATCTCTCCCCATTTCCCAGTCTCTCATTAGCGACTTTTAATCCCATCCCGTCCTTGCCCTCGCAGTTAAAACCACTAGAAAACCCCAAGAAAACCAAAAAAAATTATTTAAAACTTTCAAAACTACCTAAAATTACTTTGGTTTCCCTTAATAAGCTTTTGCAACTTTATTCTAAATTAATTTTCAAGTAAATTGAATCCGAAATTGCCTATTCTCAATATTTCCATGTTCCCCAATTTCCCCTTGCCCGCCCCGTAGCTGTGACGCCCCCTTTAAAAACCTGAAATCCCGAAATATCCCCCTCGAATCCACTATGTCTGCCTCTTGTCGATAGTACTCCGGTGTAACCTGTTTGCCGTGTCGTTTTCTGGTCGAATAAACTTGTAAATAGGAATTTTTTTGAAGCTACGATAGTACACTACTGTACTCAATACTATTCAACACGATAGGAGCAAGCGAGAGAGAGAGAGAGAGAGAGAGAGAACGAGAGAGAGAGAGAGGGAGAAACTGAGAGATATTGCGGGAATCAATACAATCGATAATTATCGATACATTATCTGGTATCCATGATTGGGCGGGAACGCTCGGTCCAAGAAGTGTAGAGACTCGTCTACCATTCTCCCAACACAGCCAAGCACGGCTCGAACGGCTAGGGAACCGAAGCCGTGGGTTACCTAGAAGAAGATTCTCTCTCTCTCTCTCTCTCTCTCTCTCTCTCTCTCTCTCTCTTTCTAGCTGCTCTCTCTGTATCTCCTGTCTTTCACTTTCCCTCATTCTCTCGCTCTCTCACACGCTGTATATCCCTCTCTCGATCGCTCTTTCTCTCCCCTCTCTCCCTCTCTCTCACCCTCTCTCCCTCCCTCTCTCCCTCTCTCCCTCTCTCTCTCTCTATCTCTCTATCTCTCTTTCTCTCTTTCGATCTAAGCACCCACCAACGTGAAGTGCGCCAAATGATGTTGAATTGCCGGGTCGACGAATGGCATCGATCGTGGCGAGATCGGAAGCGGTGCCGTCAGCGGGGTACGGTCAGATGCGACAAGTTCAGCAAGTTCATCGATGATCCTCCTGAAGCATTCTTTTAAGGGAACCGGAAAGCACACGCATTGGCTTGGTCGTGTCAACTCGAAAAAACGCGAGCAGGAGCGTTTTGGTTTTCACAAAATATTACGTTAACTTCCGCAAGAACGTTAAGAATCACATTAGTACTCCTTTTGGATTGTCGCGTAGCCAGGGCCGTAACAAACCCAAATTTCGGGGGGCGACCCCAAAAATTGTTCACTAATATGACTAAAACTACAGCGCCGCAGGCAAAATTTTTGAAAATATAGGGTTTATAACACTAAAACTAGTGTTAAAAATAGCCAAAAACAGCGCCGCAGGCAAAAATTTTTTGGAAAAATGAAATCATAAGGGACCCTTATGAACTTTTCGGCCTTCGGCCGATTTCTGGGGGCGGCTCGCCCTCTCCCCTCTTACGGGCCTGCGCGTAGCTGTCAAGACCAAGCCGGTAGCAGATAAATTGGGACGTACTTTGTCGCTTCTAGAGCCTCCCTCCTCTTTCCGGCACCTCCTTCCCTGGCCAGCCCAATCTTCGTCAAATAAATCCCAAATTCCCGGGCGCGGAACTCTTTCTCGCACACAAGCTGGAAATCCTTGGCCATGTGCACGGCTTCCTCTGAAAAAACAACATATCCGCAATGATTGCTAGCCTGCCCCTTCCATTCCCAAATGATCTCTGCTAGCCTGCCCCTTCCATTCCCAAATGATCTCTGCTAGCCTACCCCTTCCATTCCCAAATGATCTCTGCTAGCCTGCCCCTTCCATTCCCAAATGATCTCTGCTAGCCTGCCCCTTCCATTCCCAAATGATCTCTGCTAGCCTGCCCCTTCCATTCCCAAATGATCTCTGCTAGCCTGCCCCTTCCATTCCCAAATGATCTCTGCTAGCCTGCCCCTTCCATTCCCAAATGATCTCTGCTAGCCTACCCCTTCCATTCCCAAATGATCTCTGCTAGCCTGCCCCTTCCATTCCCAAATGATCTCTGCTAGCCTGCCCCTTCCATTCCCAAATGATCTCTGCTAGCCTGCCCCTTCCATTCCCAAATGATCTCTGCTAGCCTACCCCTTCCATTCCCAAATGATCTCTGCTAGCCTGCCCCTTCCATTCCCAAATGATCTCTGCTAGCCTGCCCCTTCCATTCCCAAATGATCTCTGCTAGCCTGCCCCCTCCATTCCCAAATGATCTCTGCTGGGCTACAAAATCGATAACCATGTTTTGTCAGTTCCTTTAAAACCGCTGTTACCTTCCACCAGGGCCGTCCAAGCCGTGACAATGGCTTGTTTGCGTCTGCCAGCCGGTAGCGCTAACCCGATTCGTCGTAAGGAGTCGCGTAGCGTTTTTCCGCCATCCTTGGCTTTGGCTCTAAAAATTACGGTCTACCTCTCTCCCGCTTTCTCCTTTTTCTCTCTCTCGCTCTCTCTTTCTCTCTCATGCTCCCTTCCTCTCGCTCTCTCCCTCTCTCTCTCTCACTTTCTCAAAATTCCGCCCAGCAGCGAGGCGTTCAAGCATTCCGGAGGACTTATTCTGCGCTGTATCTCCCCGACGGTCACTTTGTACTTTGTGGTCGAGCTGAGGAGGCTGGTACGTCCGGGTACGCTACAATACACCTGGCCGCAGCTATACAGCACGAATAGTCCATACCTCTCTTGGATCTACCGTAGCCCTTGGACACATGGCTTCGCTGAAGAGGCGGAAGGGGAACCCGAATTTGTCATCAGCAGCGGCGTCAAGAGGGCCGAAGAGGTGCTGAAAGAGAGAGAGAGAGAGAGAGAGAGAGAGAGAGAGAGAGAGGGGGGAGAGTGAGCAAGAGCTATATCCATACTTCCGTACCTTCATCTGAAATCCGGCCTGCCCGAATCGAGGATTCGTAAACGAATACGTAGAATGGAGCTAAATCCGGAATTTCCGGTTCATTTACGAAGCCTACATTGTGATACGGTAAAATTTCGTCCCCGAGTTGGTATCCAGCATCGCCAAATCTCTTCAGAAGCGGGTTCTCGAGGATAGATTCGTCCTCCTCGGCCGCCTTAAAAGCGCGAGAGTTTTCTCGATCTTTGGGCTTACCTCCTCGTCCTCCACGTCGTCCTCATCTTCATCGTCTTCGGCCTCCGGCTCCAGGCGACGGTGTTTGGCTAAAAAACGCCCCAAGCTTCAAGGAAATATGAAAATCGACCCATTTATCAACTAGGTCTAGACAGCTACAAGGCAGGCCAAAAAACGCATCGAACACATTTGCCGCAACGTTACTTCGCTAGGGGCTATCGTAATAACTCTACACGTTTCCGTTGTGCTGCGCAGCTGTCTAGATCTCGTTTATTGCCAGAAGTCGATCTTTGCGCTTTTTAGCCCCTTTAAAGGACCTGGAAGTCAGAATTGCGGCTGGAATCCGTTTGTTCCATCTGAAATTGCTTTTTTCTTACCTAGCGTCTCTTCAAGCAGGGCTGGACGTTTTCGGTATATTTTCGGAAGATGCCGTAGTTAAAAAATTTCCAGAATATGGGATTTGGAGCCTACTGTAGGCTTCAGATGAGGTTCAGGAGCTGTTGGATGAAATGCCCCCGGGCAAATGAAGTTGGGGGTCGTCCAACTCTATTGGATGAGCCCCAGGCTTCTTAAGGTCCTCTCCGTGCCAATACTCTCGACGCATATTGCCCACCTCATCCCGCGGGCGTTATTAATGAAATTTAGGAGAGTCCGGGGATCGCATCGGGGAGACTAAAAGTATCTTTAAATCTGACTAAATATTTTGAGATTATTTTGAGAAATCCGGCACGAGTTTGTTGATCTAAAGGCCGGTAAGCTTCAATGTAAACGAATTCCCAAATGATCTCTGCTAGCCTGCCCCTTCCATTCCGAAATGATCTCTGCTAGCCTGCCCCTTCCATTCCCAAATGATCTCTGCTAGCCTGCCCCTTCCATTCCCAAATGATCTCTGCTAGCCTGCCCCTTCCATTCCCAAATGATCTCTGCTAGCCTGCCCCTTCCATTCCCAAATGATCTCTGCTAGCCTGCCCCTTCCATTCCCAAACGATCTCTGCTAGCCTGCCCCTTCCATTCCGAAATGATCTCTGCTAGCCTGCCCCTTCCATTCCCAAATGATCTCTGCTAGCCTGCCCCGTTCCATTCCCAAATGATCTCTGCTAGCCGTCCTAAAAATCAAGGCTTATTTTTAATTCCCTAGCTAATTCTAAGACTTTTCTAGGTCCAAACTTGCCCAAAAAACGGAAATGAACTCTTTTCACGAACTTGCTCTGCTTTTCGGGGCGATTGTTTTTGGCGGGGCTGCTGGGGTGATTGCGGGAATTTTGTGGGTGCGCGGGGGACACGGAATAGGAAATTGGGATATTTCTCTCTCTGTCTTTCTGTCCGCGTTTTTCAATTTGTGTGTGTGGTTTTCCTTGTCAAATTTCGGTGGCTTTTCCCCCAGCCATTGTCCAGTTTGACAAGCGGGAACGGGCGCTGAAATGACAACCCGAGAAAAATATGCATAAAAAGCAAGGAATTGCTTTTTGGAAGGGCGTCTTTCGATTTTATCTGATTTTTGGTAATTGAAATTTACTGCAAAGCAGTTTTTAAAAGAACGGTAAAAACTTGGCTATATATTTGGCCGCGCTGCGACACGCAGCGCGCATGCTGCATTTTCCATCGCGTAATCGATTACCCCTAGATTACTCGGGTTAACCCCCTAGAAAATCCGTAGCAAAATCTCATCGAAGCGCCTTGCCGTGCCCTTTAAAGGGTCTAGAAATTGTCAGAATCGACCCTTGCATCGACTAGGTATCGACAACTACGCAGCCCGCCAAAATATTACAAAGTACCGTTCATTTTTGAACCAAGTTTGATGTCACGTTGCGTATGGCGGCGCGCGCGTTCCAAGCCGCGGACGTCGGTGCTCTTGCGGCACCTGCGTTGATTGTCAAGGCACGTGCGCTGCGCAGCGCTTCCTGCGTCGCATGTCGCAGCCCGACCGTTCAAAGTCGCGTTGCGGATCGCAGTATGTCGCGTAATTCGACCCTGTTCATCTACAGGTGTGTAAAGTATACCAAAATACTCGCCAGAGCAAGGCGAACATTTTGATATACTTTACACACCTGGAGATGAACAGGGGGCCGAGATACGGTAGGTGGGATCGGCTGGGGGGAGGGTAAAATGCAGTTAGGCCTAGTAAAGCCTTGCCAACCCCTTTAAAGCTTCAACTCGGCTGCCGCGCTGCTCGAGGTCACTTTTCTGGTGTCCACCCCTGATTTTGTCACTTTTCCGTCCAACCAAAAGCTGTAAAAGCCGCGTAAACAAGAGTAGAATCTAGGGATATCGCCGGGGTCTCGTGGTGGTCGAGGCGGAAATGCCTTTTGCTCTGTTTATCGCCCGTTTTCTTTGCCCAGATGGGGTGGGTTCAGCCCATTTTTGCCGGGGTCCGAATTACCGGAGAGACAAGAGGTCATTCCGCGGCGCGCCTATTGCCACGGCGGTGGTCAGGTACAAAAAGGGCGGAAACCGCGCGGCAGCGGTAATTTTTCTGAGCGATTCGACTTGCAACAAATTTGTAGGAATTTTTTAACATTCTTTTGAAGCTCTGCCGGCTTCACGCATTTTGCCCTTGAGCCCGAGCTCCTTCAACGCGTTTAGAGGACGCCGGCGTACTGTTTGCATAGGGTCCCTAGGGCATGTTGCACTGCATTGTGCCCCCGGGCTATGTTTCATACTTTGCTTAGCCCTGCATTCGAATTTTACGAATTTTTTAGACGTGTTTAGCTCCATGTTTGTCCCGTTTTCTTCCTGTTTCTAGGATTAACCCACTCTAAAAGCCAGTAGAATTTTAAATCCCCTCGAAAGCGACCAGAATCGACCCTTCCGTCGACTGGGTCTCGGCAGGTACGGAATCTACGCCAAAATTCGCCTCCAACCACGTTTCGATTTGTGTTCGGCTTTCAAACTACATCAAAACGAAATTGGGGCTACCAAATAGAAACTTACCGGCGTCATTTGGCGTGTAGCGTAGCTGTCTAGACCTGGTCGAGGGAAGGAGTCGATTTGCTGGTTTCCCATGCCCTTGAATTCGCGATCAAAGCGTTTCCATTTGGCTCCAAATAGTGTTCTGCTCCAGCTGAACTCGCCGAAGATCGCCAAATTTTTTGGTCAACCTAATTCGGTTAGCCGTAACCTTGAATTTGGGTGTGACGGAGGAGGAGCGGAACATGTTCAGTGTTCAAGGAAACGGGACAATTAGGCTGCTCCGGAGTGGTGGTCAGGAACCACTCTAGAAACGTTTTTTACCAGCGCTGGAGCCTTATTCTCTCCATCTCTTTCTTGCTTTGTCTCTCTCTCTCTCTCTCTCTCTCTCTCTCTCTCTCTTTATCGCTTTGGGTTCCTCTTTAAAGGGACAGACAAGGCTTGGCTTGGAGTTTCCTAGATGATTTCTTGCAAGAAAAGGTTAGGGCGAGTGCAGGAGAGGGTGAGAAAGAAAGCCAGAGTAAGAGAGTCAGATAAGGGGAGAGCTAGAGAGAGAGAGAGAGAGAGAGAAAGTGAGAGAGCTAGATAGACCATAGAGACATGCTATGGGCTGTACTGTTCCACATAAAAATTCCTCAAAAACCTCTGCTAGCACGTTGTTTTTCAAATTCCGAAAAAAAATTTGCTATCCACCTTCCAATTTTTGTTTTTCCATCCTCTCCGAGTTGACTGCCAAACTACTGACCGCTGACCGGCTAATCACCATTGTTTCTGATTCCCTGATTCCCGCTCCGCAAATTGCCCACCGGCAAGGTCATTTGTACAGTCTCGTAGCTGTCTCGCCGCGCTTCTCCTGGGAGAGAGGGAGAGAGGGAGAGAGAGAGAGAGAGAGAGAGAGAGAGAGAGGCCCCGCCCCGTTTCTACAGGGACCGGCCCCCGGTGGGTAGGTGGCCGTCTCGAGTACAGTCGCGTAGTCGTCCCCCGCACAGCCCCACTTTGCCCCCTGCGGTTCATAGAAACACCCGTTTTTCGAGTGTTTTTAAGCGATGTAAGCCCTTGTATTAAGTGGCAGTGTAAGTAGCGTACGAGTTTTTAGGCGCTAAAGCTTATTTCTGCATTTCTTTTTTAGACGAGCAAGCTATTGTTGCGGCTACACTTGACTTTACCCCCCCCCCCCAGCCGGAAGTTTTTGGCTATAAGGCGTTGCAAAAATCACGACAAAATAAAAATTCGTTTTTCTCGCTGATCCAGGTCGAAATCTGTCTGAGGTCTTCTTCAGAGCTCCTTTAAAATCGACTCAGTTTAGGTATCTTTTCTATGTTTTTTTGCTCGGCTCTGCTTAATATGCGTTCCTTAATGACGATGACTTCAAAGGGCCTTAAAAATCACTTCTTTCCAGAAAACTTGCTAAAATGGTGCAAATCTGGATGACGGAGCCGTACCCCTGCGGAGACCCACGACTCCCCCACCACCTCTTTCCCCCCGAAAATGATCACCCCCGATGAGCTGACGAAGAGGACGGGCACGCTGTATTGGAAGGTACGGTGCTAGGGAACAAGTTACTGTGGTAGAATAGAAAAAATCACAGCCGTTCTCAATTTCCATTCCCAAATGATCTCTGCTAGCCTGCCCTTGATTTTACGTCCAAGAGTGTTTTTCCTTCCTTGGCACCTCGAGCCGCTTTCATTGTCCGAGTTGATCAAACCATCCAAGCCCCAAGGACGCTGATCGGTTAGAGAGCGAGAGTGCGGGAAAGAGAGAGAGAGAGAGAGACGAGAAGTAGAGTGATAAAATAAGCTAGACCCTGCCAGCCAAGCGCTATTTTCCGGAACGCGGGCGCGCTTGGGAAACGGCAAACGCAATTGAAGATACGCGAGCAATGGAGAAACGGAAATTTCGGGATCAGTAATTAGAGAGAGAGAGAGTGAGAGGGAGAGAGAGAGAGAGAGAGAGAGAGAGAGAGAGAGCGATAGCCAACCGCAAAACCAGTTTCGTGGTTTTCCGCGTGTCCCCGGCTGATTAGCCGAGCACACCTCGTGCGGCTTGATTTTTGGGGAGCATACCAAAAATATAACATCAAAAACAATACAAAATCAAAAAAATCATTTCTCGATTTCAGCTGGACTGCCTCGACCCGATCGCGTTGTCGAAGCGGATCACGATGATGAAGCTTGAGCGCGGGTTCAACAAGGAGGACATCTACACCCTGGATGCCGCCACGACCGCGAATTTTGATGATAAGGTATCGTGTTTAGAATTAAATAGCGAAGCCAAGCCAGTCTAGCTAGGCAAGCTTCGCGCCGGCACCCATTTTAGAGGCAAAGCTTGTGGCAGGAACCATTTTTTGATGCCCGCGGTTGTTGCCGGGCCGCGACACGCAGCGCGCCCTGCCATGCTCAATGGCGCGGACGTGCTTGCGCGTCGCAAATTCATGAAAAATCCATAGCCAAAATCCGATAGCAACCGATCCCTTTAAAGTCGGAATTTTTCAGATATTAGATGAAGTTTTCGCCACAAATTTCCGTGCATTCTGCCGCTGCCGCGATACGCCAAGCGCGTCAGAAAAACCGGCACGTTGCGTTCCGCGGTTAAGACAAAATTTTAACCAATTCGCGAGCCAACGAAACTCATAGTCATGCTTTCCCGGTCCTTTAAAGGCGACGGAAAGTCAGGTTCTGCATCTTTTTGGATGCGTTTCTGTGGACGCGACACTCAACGCGCGCGCCACTTGGCTGCCTGAAACGTGTCGTAATCGATTACGCGGCATTACGCAAGTTGTCGTTGCTGAAAAATCGCAAAAAATCCATAGCAATTCCATGGAAAACTTGAATATTTCATCCTTTCCGGTCTTATTAAAATCGGAATCTCTAGATCGAGGAGCTGTTCGAGGAGGCGTCTTGCGTTGAGGATCAGGCCCGCATGATCATCGAGGGATCCTCGTACTTTGATGTCGAAGATAAGGTCGGTTTTGGGGACAAAATATCCTTTTAAAGGGGCTAGCAAACACCAAAATCGACCCTGAGGCCCGCTAGGTCTAGACAAGGACGCGACGTGCCAAAATGCCAAGTACGGGATTTCATATGGCCGGAAAATACACACCAAATATCGTATCATAGGCGTTTTTGCGCCTCGCATAGTTGTCTAGACCTAGTCGATGCATGGGGTCGATTCTCGGGTTTCTAGCGTTCTCTTCTTTCTATTTTAGCGCTATGGTCTGGCGATAGGTCTTTCAGCAATTTAGAGGCGCCTTTTGGCATGTCGCGTTCTAGTCTAGACCTAGTGGAGGGAAGGGTCGATTTTTAGGCTTCCTGGTCCCTTTAAAAGCGCATGTCAGTCACGAAAGGTTACATAAAGTTTTGCTTTTTGCAGAACGGAGCCTGGGTTCGAATTCTGTGCGAGTACGGCGACCTGATCCTCATCCCCGCCAAGGTCAACTACCGGTTCACCACCACACATAAGGTAATTTTTTTGTATTCTTAAATTAATTAAATTTTAATTTAATTTTTAGTTTAGAAATATTAAATATGACATTTTAAATTGCAGAACTTTGTGAAAATCCGCCGCTTCTCGAAGCTGACGGAGGATTGCTGAAAAAAAAATCAATTTACATCCCATTTTTTTCAATTTTTACAGTAACCCTATCAAGGAATTCTTTGTAAAAATGCCATTTTTCTGCGCCCTGCCCTTTCTACCGTACCCCGCTACTGCCTTGATTTCTCTGCGGAGCCGTTCGATTAATTATACCGGTGCTGTGCTTCCTAAAAAGTGGCCCCCATTGTACAGAGAGCAACGCGAATTTTGGACAATCGTTTTACTGTGTTTTAGTCAAGAATAAAAATCTGAAAAATGACAATTATGGAAGAACAATCGCGGATTCAAGCGTACAGTAGCGTACTGCAGGAATCAAGGCGATCCAATGCTGTATATCACACTGATACGTACTGAAGCATACTGTAATTCACAAGCATTTTATTCTAGCATAAGTCTAATGAGGCGTACGATGGCGTACTGGGGTGTACTGTTGCGTATTATGGTGCAACGCTGCGTACCGGGGTGTACTGCTGCGTACTAGGGCGTACTGATGCGTCCCAGGGCATAATACTGAGTAATATAGCGTACTGTTGGATATTAGGGTGTACTGCTGGGTACTAGGATTTGCTGTTGCGTACTAAAATTTACGGCGGCGTACTATGTACGGCATCGTAGGTAGGGTACTGCATCGTACCGGCGCGTACTGTGGTGTATTAGCCTGCACACTTTATGCGTTTCGCGTACGCAAGCGTACTATCGGGCATGGTGTGCTTAGGGTACAGTAGTGTCCTGTAGCGTACGGTAGTGGATTATGACGTACTATCATTTTGGGATTGTGCCACATAGAGCATTGTCAAGCCTGCTGCAGTGTATTCTACGTACGTGTTTTGTAATTGGTTTCACAAAATCACAATAAACATAGTATTTTCCAGTCGGTGATGTGTTGGAGTGTACTGTAGCTTCCAGAAAAAGGACGCGATTTCCTATTTACAAGTTTATTCGACCAGAAAACGACACGGCAAACAGGTTACACCGGAGTACTATCGACAAGAGGCAGACATATCGAATTTGAGGGGATATTTCGGGGTTACGATGTTTTAAAGGGATCGTGACAGCTAGGGGGGGCGAGGGAAATTGGGGGACATGGAAATATTGAGAATAGGCAATTTTGGATTAAATTGAATTAAAATTCAACTTAGAATAAAATTGCAAAAACCTAGTAAGGGAATCCAAAGTAATGTTAGGGGGTTTTGGAAATTGTAAATAATTTTTTTTGGTTTTCTTGGGGTTTTCTAGTGATTTTAACTGCGGGGCAAGGACGGGATGGGATTAAAAGTCGCTAATGAGAGACTGGGAAATGGGGAGAGATATATACAGTAGACGATACAGTAATTACGGAAAGTACCGTATTATTCGACGAAGAAGAGGATGAAGCTGAAGATGACCATCATCTCCAACCCGTTCAGAGCATGGGGCTTCGACGAGTGATTGGGGTGGATGGCGGGAGAGGGGCCGTCGTGGAAGGGACGGGCTTTGCAAGGCGGGCAGAGCGGCGGGTTTTCTGCAAAATTCGGAATGTAAGAATTTTATTTTAAGTTTATCAAATTTTGTTAATAAACTGAAAAATCCTGGACAAAATCTAATCTTATGAAATTGACAAAACTTTGAAAATCGCCAAAAATACTATATTTTTCCAACACAAAACAATTTTTTGAATTTTGATGGTGGATGAATTGTTATTAAATTAATTTAATAAAACCGTATGCGGTTATAAAGCTAATATTATACCGAGATCCGGTCGGGCCATAATATAAAATCATTTCTTAACTAAAATTCAATAAAATTTTCGCTAAAAATCGAAAAATTGCTAAATCACTAAATAACTTTACCTTTTCGACGGCTCCTCCATTAGAAACTTTAGAGATGACTGGGGAAGGGGTCTTCTGTAGATCCATATCCCCATCAACACCATCAACAATAGCAGCAGCAAGTTCACGAAGACTGCGACGAGGCGCCTTCTTTGCCAGCGCATATCGCTGCGCAACGAGCAGCGGCTGAAATCGGAAGTGGCTTTGTAAATAGCTTGTAGTCTGTAGTTTATGATTTTGCAACGAATTATGAACAACTACAGCATAAGTTATGCTGTATAGATAACTAACGACTTCGGCAGGTCTTAAACTTTAGAAAGCCTTCGAAAAACAGCAAAATTTATTTTTCTGCATTTTAATCACTTGGAGGTGGTTTTCACCTACCAACTAAAGTTTTGTAGACTTTATAGCTTGTAGTTTATAGATTTCCAATGATTTTAAACATCTACAATGTAAAAAACAACTTCGGGAAGCTTTGAAATTTTCAAACCATACAAAAAAGGCGATAACTGAATTTTGCGCCACGAAATTGCTTCGAAAAATGATTTTTTAGCGATAATTTCAAAGTTTCGTAAATTTTGTAGCTTGCAGTTTAAGGGTTTGGTCATTAATACGTTAAATCATTTAAATTTTGGTTATAAAAATCATGAAATACAGATTGTTTCGAGATATTTTTAATAGCTACAGAGAAAACGGATTGGCAAAACTTACAAGCCTTAATGTAAAGATCGGGCACTCGAACCCTCTAAAATTTATTCTTTCCTCTCCTCTGCCATCTATTAACCATTTTTTTCTGAAGGCTCAAACCACAAAATGGGTAACAGGCTTTTGAAAATTTTAAAGTAAATAAAGATTTAAAAATTGATTTAACTAATCAAATGAAATAGCCACTTACCGCCAACTCGACGACGGTGAGACTGCGTCGATGCTGGGCACGGCGAAGTTTCTGTTGAACAGTGCCATCCATCGGGGCCATCTTCATCAGATCCGCCGTCTCCGGGAAGTACTGCAATAAGCGCGGGTTTTAGCGATTGATATTATTTAATAGGCTAATTGGATTGTTTAAGGCATTTTAGGAATGAAAAACCGTAAATTTGCGGTATGTCAACCACCAAAATCATGCCGTGATTGATTAAAACCTCGCAAAAAAAAAACCAAGACTGAAAATAAGGGTGCCGTAATCGATTACAAGCAGAGAATTATATGGTTGAAAATGGAAAAATAATTTTTTCTATATTTTTACAAGGGAAACAGGATTTAAATAAAGTTAAATTGCGCAAAAACTTTTCGAAATCGGTTAGAAAGCATTTCTATCGCCTAAAAATTGCATCAGAAAATACAAATAATTCATATGACTTGAACGTAAATTTTTCGACTTTTTAACGGTTCAAAAAGAATGTAGAGGCCAATTAGATGTGATAATTGCTTAAAAAGCTGGTTAAAAATTACGGAAAAACCTGGACAAAATTTAATGTATCTTTAAAGGCTAAAAGCTAATTTAAAACTATTTAAATTGAATCTCAAATCCTATCGTAATCGATTCTCAAAAGCTTACCGTTCCCATGGAGTGACGGCGACGCAGAAATTTCGTCGACGGCGTCGAGCAGTCGGCAGTCGTCGACTTGGGGGTGGTCGGGGCGGTAGTAGGAATGGCCATCATCTTAAATTAGAATACAGGCAGAGGGTAGGGGCGGTAGGTAATTGGGGGGTATTTGGGAATGACTGTCCCCCTGTTGATGCCCTCCTTATATACCCTGTAATCGGCATGCCTTAGCCCCGCCCCCGCCCCTTTATATACCCCCAGGACCCATATCACCCCCAAAAAGACCTAATTTGCATATCACCCACCAATAGACAAGCATTCCACTCGACACCAATAGACGATAGCTTGGCGCGCGCTGGATTGTCGCGGCGGGACCCTTGAGAAAATACACACTAATGGCCACCCCGCCAACTTTGAATCAAGAGCAATTTGTGCCCAAATCCACGGTTCTAGCCTAATTTGCATATCGACAATTAACGACCACCGATTTGGGGCACTTTTTAGGCCGGAGGAGGGGCAGAGAAAGAGGCCATCCAGGCTGGCAGGGAAGAGTTTTGAGGCTTCCGGCTATTTTTCGGACCCTGTGTAGTCAAAATAGGGCATCGGGAGGTGGGTAAAGTGTGACAGCGTAATTATTACATTTCTGAGAGAAGTACGCGCTTTTTGCGGGGTTTTGCAGCTACAGATGACGACAGCACGACGCTGAGAACCGACCCAAAATCCCGATTTTGAGAAAAAGTGGACGGTTCGATTTTTCGTCGTCCTGACCCAGTTGCAGCTGAATTTTGACCAATTGTTTAATTTTTTCACGTTTTTTATATTCGTTGTTCTTCATATGACCTGAGATGCAGAACCGCATGATCTTCTGAATCCTACCTTTCGACAATGAGATTCAACTAAAAAATTGCATTTCGAAAATGCATTGAATTTATTAGTTTTAAATTAAACCTGACTAAAATCCAGCCACTATTGTAATTCTTTCCAGTGTCTCCTTGATCTTTATAGTTTATACACTACAATTTACAGACATTTCGAAACTATTTTAATTCTTTTTAATTTCTGATCAATCTTTGTGCTTTCAATCGATCGCCATATCGATATATATGCTGTTATCTGGCAGAAAACCCGCGAAAGTACGGGATAATATCCGGAGGGCATTTGACTTATCACAGAGGTCAACAATGTCCCCCCAAATACACACCAAATACAACCACTATCTGGCGCAATTCGGGGGGCAATTCGGGGCATGGAAAGGGCGTCAATTGGCGTGTAATGTAGCCTGAATTATAGAAAATAGATTACTTCATAATATAAAATACTCTAACGTTTCAGGGACTATTAAAAATGCCTCCAAACCCATGGTAATCCGTTAAAACCCGACATAAATTCGGTCGTAACTCTTGAAAACATGATCCGACGTTTTCTAAAAAATATTCCACCGCTTCCTAGTCGCTTTGAAGCATGATAAAAGTGTAAAAAACGTAGATTAATAGCGTTAATACGCTTACCTAACGAAAAATACCCAAAAACCTGTGCGAACCTGTTTTAAGCGGGTCCGAAGAGCTTCACAAACGAGATAAGGCTTCAAGGAATTGGAAACAGATGCATTAGCTTTGGAAAAAAGACAAGGAAATTCCGGTATTCGGGGTCGACCATTTAATGAAATAGGTACTTTCTTTATTCTTTTTATAACATCGAAAACGCCATTTAGAAGAGCTAGAAAGTTGCGATTCAAACTATCAAAACCATAAATCGCCGAAAAATGTCAAATGGCGAGTCAAAATCTCGCTTATCGCTGGTAGTGAATGTTTAAATTCACAATTGTTATCCCATTTAGCAACCTAATTACCATTTAACGTAATCATACCTGGTATTATGACATTTTGGCGAGCTGAGGCGCGTAGTTTCGTAGCATCCACGTCTCAAGGATTATCCTAGACATCGAGAAGCGGAAATCGAATCCAAAGCCACCTCAAACCCGAAAATTTTGGCGAATTTTTCTGAATTTCTGCTCTTTATATACTTTTCGATATCTATCTGTGTTTATTTACATTTCCTGATACCGTTTTTATCTTCCTTTCCGTAGATTCGATAAGAAACGGGGAAGAAAAGAGATCAAAGGAGATGTAAAGGGATGCCGATCGGGGAATTAAGCCGAGAATTATTCTTTCTGTTGTTCCTGTTCATCTCCTCATTGTTGATGTTTGTTTTGACTTGATAAGGGCATTAAATCACGGGGGTATTACCTGGGGAATTATGCAAAAATGATCCCCGGTAGAGGAGGCGAGCGGAAATCTGGCTTTCCTTGGAATTCCGGGCGCCAGCTGGGAGGTGTTAAGAGTAGGAAAAAGTCAATTAAAAGCTATGGACATTACGAAAAAGTTCGAAAATTGTTAAGAGCCAGAAAATACGATTTTGAAAGGTATAAAACCACAAATCAGAGAAAATAAAGCCAAAAAACTATACAAAAGGATTTGGCGGATGAGAAGGCGTAAATGCACATACTGAAAGAGTAAAAAAATGGATACTAACTATAAAAAGTTGAACTAACTATGGAAAGGTGTCTAGAAAAAGATGAAATACTATTTAGAAGGCTTAGAAATCGTGCAAACCGATTAAAAACGGCAAAAACAGACAAAACCTGTTTTCTGAATTTCGTTTCTAAGAATTATATACCTTAATTTTCCTTTTAAGGAATTAGCGAAAATTTGTAGGGCAATATACGAGAATTCTGTGAAAAATATACGTATCAAAACGGCTATAATAAATATTGGGAACTAACGAAGACCCAAAAACACCCCCTGGTTGCATCCCATAACCGCCCCCGTGGGAGCGGCCTCCCACCCACCCCTCTTCACCCCCTACCGCCGCGCCTCTCCCCATGCAGCGATGTCCGAGTGGTTAAGGAGTTGGACTTGAAATCCAATGGGCATTGCCCGCGTAGGTTCGAACCCTGCTCGCTGCGAAAGTTTTGCTTTTTGGAGGTGGATACCGGATATCGCTTTCGGAACTCCAGAAATTGAATGTTTTTGTTGTAAAAAAGGTATGTTCATGTCATTACCATCTATTTTAATTGCAATAAGAATTTAGTCTACATTCTATAGTTCAAAACGGCGGTTTTTCTTTCATTTTCGATTTTTGATGGTAACATTATTTTTCCGGCCTCCAGGAGCTCATCATTTTTGCCGAAAAACTTCATTTAGTGGTCGTTGCAAACCTATATATAAGGAACAAGTTTCAGGTTACTTTTCCCTAGCTAAAAAATGAATTTTGATGTTTACCGCATCTTTAGAGAATTTTTTTGGACATTTTCTTACCGATTCATTGCTGCAAACCCAACTGGTCACTCGCACCACACCAACGGGTGGCCCCCACTAGGGCCCATAACTCAGAGGGGCCCATTTTTCCCGGGCGCTGATGGGCCCTGCACACCTGATCCCAGCCGGAGGAGACCGGCCGAGCTGGTGGCCACCCAGAACCGGGGGGAAAATGGGCCTTAAGGAGAATGAAATGGGAGGGGGAGAGAGAGAGCGCGAGAGAAAAAGAGTGGCCAGCACCGCCCAGCCCAGGACTCTCGGCTCCTCTGCACAGTCGGGAGGAGGACCAGCTTTCTGAGGTTTTTAAGCAGCCAGGTTTAGATTTTACTGGATTTTTGAGTATTTGTGGTGCCTATTTTTAGAAATTGTAAAATATAATTCCATTAAGCCACCATGGTGGGCCCGGTGGCGCCATGGCTGCTACTCCTCCAGCTTGCGGTCTTATTTCTGGTTTGCAAAGTTGAGGTGAGTCACAGATTTCAGGTGTAAATGAGTGGTAAGGTAGAAGGTTTCTCGCGCCATTTCTCGCTTCCTCACTCCCTTTATTTCAATCTCTGTTGCTCTCCGGCTCTCTCTCTCCCTGTCTCTCTCCCTCTCTCTCTCTAACTCTCTCTAACTCTCTCTCTTTCTCTCTCTCTCTCTCTCTCTCTCTCTCTCTCTCTCTCTCTCTCTTTCTCTCTCTCTCTCCCTGTCTCTCTCTCTCTCTATCTCTCTGTGTCTGTCTCTCTCTCCCACCAACTAGATGGAATTTTATTGCCCAACAATTTTCGATTTTCCATTTGAAACCGAATGCCCTTTCGACCTGGTGGACACAGTGATCAGCGTGATCAATCAGGCCCTGGCTGACACATGGCTTCACGGATGTTAGAATGGGGAGCTCCCATAGGAAAGGCTGACCCCAGCCCAGACTCCGGGAAGTGATTTTCGGGACTTAGAGAGGAGCTTGAGAGGGTCTAGCTAGTTTATGCGCTTTTGAAAAATAGCCAGAGCCTTGTCAAAAAAACAAATTGCTAGATTTTCTGTCGTCTTATGAAAATTTAATTGGGTATTTGAAAAGATTTGTTTATTGGTAGGTCTTTATTTTAATCTCTCTCTCTCTCTCGCTCTCTCACGCTCTCTCTCATCTCTCTTTCTGTCTCTGTCTCTCTCTCTCTCTCTCTCTCTCTCTGTCTCTTTCTCTCTTTCTCTCTTTTTTTTCTCCCTCTCTCTTTCTCGCTTTCTCATGCACTTTTGCATTTTTAGAAGCACTGCAGTCGGCAAATTTGGAATTTCTCCAAAAATCACCCCCATCCTAGCGGAAGCCTCCGGGAAAAGCGCGTAGTCCGGCCGCGAAACTTGAAACCTACCCATCGCGAGTAGGTGCTGTAACGGATATGGGGGAGACCGGCACAAAAAATTGCACACAAAAAACCGGAAAACAGCTGACTGGGGGGTTTTTCACAGAAAATGAATCCCGCGTGAAAAAATCTGTTAGACGACCATGATGTGGACAGGAATGAAATATATCTATCCGAAAATACCTTGTTTTCTAGGCCTACAACCACCCCTACCAACAACAGAATCGCCACCCACCGTACCAGCCCCAGCAGCGGCACCAAACCACGGCCAGCCATCAACAGCATTTGCAGCAGCAGCAACAACAACAGCAGCAACAGCAACGGGTTCGTCTTTTAAAGGCAATGGTAGGCAGAATCCATAGCCGCGATCTTGGAAAGTTGCCAAAAATGATTTTTAATTGTTTTAATTTTAATGATTTTCGAAGAACATATTTGCGAAAATCAATTTTCAAAAATAATTTTTTTTCGAAAATCATTTTCCTTGAAAAGGCTTCTCCGAAAGTGATATTTTTGAGACGCCATCTTTTCGAAAATCAGTCTTCCGAAAAGCGGACTTTCGGAAAATTTGCGCTGCATTTTTGCGATTTAAAGGAACGAGAAAACGTAAAAATCAACCCCTCCATTCGACTAGGTCTCGACAGCCGCGCGGCACGCCAAGAATTATGAAATTCTGTTTTGGCAGTCTCTAGTGGCGTGGATTAAACAAATAAAATCATAACGGATTCTCCAACTGGTTTTGTTGCATCGAATGGCTGACGGGAACTAGACTTAGCAAGGTCGATTTTCCAAATTTCCGGTTAGCACCAATAGCCTAATTGGATGAGCTAGCGCTGAAACTTTGCTTTCCAGATAACCGTAATCACGATTCTTACGCTGAAAATCAGATAACCGAATTTACGAACATCGTCTAAGATTTTAAATTACTCAGGCTCAACAACAACATCAACAACAACAATTGCAGCAACAACAGCTCCAACAGCAACAACAGCAACGCTACGCCGCCCAGCAGAATCACCCGAATCGGTATCCCCCTCAAAAGCCGGCGTATCAGCAGGTGGGGCCCTACAACTGTATTTGGTGGTTGATAATTTTCCTTTGTTTTTGAAGTAAGTCCCGGAATAAGGTAAGTTCTATAATGGTCGCAGCTGACTTACTTGTTTCCAAATTCAGAACACCCAATCGCCAAATTCCGTGACCGCCTACGACGTAAGTTGTTGTGCCGTGTAGCGTATTTCTGGTTTCTTACGAAGTGCTCGTCATTCTTGAAAATGTAGCTCTCTTTCTCTCTTCTCTCTCCCTCTCTTTCTCGCTCTCTCTCTCTCTCTCTCTCTCTCTCTCTCTCTCTCTCTATCTCTCTCTCCCCCCTCGCTGTTTTACCCTCACGCTTTCTCTATCGCTCTGTCTCTATCTCTCCCCGACTCTCTCTCTCTGTCTCTCTCTCTCTCTCTCTCTCTCTTTCCCTCTCACTCTCCGACTCTCTCGCTCTTTCACTCTAAAACTACCCAAGGTAAAACCTGCAACTTTTAGCGTTCCCGACATCCACCCGCACCGGTTCGCTATTCAAAACCTATAGAAATTCTAGAGTTTGTAGTCTAGAATTTCATAGTCTTTAGTCTATCGTTTCCAAGCCCTAACATCTAGGCTCAAAAATTCCCTTGCTAACTCCAATTCTCGGCCTGGCTATCGATCCTGTAGTTTTCGTTGTAGTTTGTGGAAGGCTGTTGTTCGTAGCCTATGCTACCCCCTAATTTGTAGTTTGTGGGTTATAGCCCGAGATGCACATTTCAGACTCCATATCCAGCCTATCCACACCACATCCCGCAACAACAAACGCCCACCTGCGACATACCACCGGATCTCTGGTGCGACTCGCCGCAGGTGAGATTGAGCGTTCCAGGCCGTAATTTGGCGTCCGGCGTTGGTGTCGAGACCTAGCCGACGCACGGGGTCGATTCTCGAGCTTCACTCCCCCTAATAAATCCTGATTTTAGTCGGCGCAAACGTGCAACGTGCAGCGACAATGCGACACGCTGAAGCGCTCGCATAAGAAGCTGAAAATCTCGTTGATGTATGAAGCGTTGTGTCCTTATTGTCAGAAGTACGTTGATCTTTCTCTCGCCCTCTCAGTCTCACACTATCTCTCCCTCTCTTTCTCTCTCTCGCTCTCTCGCGCTCTTTGTCTCGCTTCCAGTTATCTCTCCCTTTCTCTCGCTCCCTCTCGGTCTCTCGCTTTCTCTCTCCCCCACTCCCTCTGGCGCGCTCTCTCTTTCGTTCTAGCTCCCCCTCTCGCTCTCTCAGATTTCATGTTTTCCAGATTTATCGCAAACCAGCTTGGGACAATCGTCAACCAATTCCGAGGCCAATTCGAGCTCGAGCTCGTGCCATGGGGAAATGCGAGGATAGCCAGGGTCAGCCTTTTTCGATGTTTTCCTCTATCTCTCTTACTCCCTCTCTCTCTCTCTCTCTCTCTCTCTTTCTCGCTCTCTTTATCTCTCGCTTCAGGATGGACAATTCTCGTGCAACCACGGCAAAAAGGAATGCGACGCGAACAGACTACAGTCATGTGTGATCGACATTTTGGGGGTGAGTCTCGGAAGCCGGAGTAGGTATTTTTTTCATGTGACTTAGGTCGGCTTTTTGTTCTACGCATTCCGGTTGCGTTGTACCAAAATTTGTATGATTCGGGGGTTCACTTAGATTATGCCGAGGGCGCTAGATCCGGACGATAAACTTTCAATTTTTAGACCCAGCAAGCCCTCCCCTTCATCGTCTGCTTCGAGAGGGCTCTCGGGACGTCCTCGGTGGATGCTTCGATAAATCAGTGCATGGCCTTCGTCAGGAATCAGCATCGGCAAATACGGTAAGCCTATTTTTTGAGGGCCCTGAAGTTGCATTAATGTTTGTTCTGGACCATACTTTTGTTTAGACACTGCTACGATTCTGCGCGCGGGATGCAGCTTCAACGAGAAGCCGCGCAGAAGACAATGTCATCAAGACCGAATGCGATCTTGGAGGTATGTTTTCCGATCCCAAATGATCTCTGCTAGCCAGCCCCTTCCATTCCCAAATGATCTCTGCTAGCCAGCCCCTTCCATTCCCAAATGATCTCTGCTAGCCAGCCCCTTCCATTCCCAAATGATCTCTGCTAGTCAGCCCCTTCCATTCCCAAATGATCTCTGCTAGCCAGCCCCTTCCATTCCCAAATGATCTCTGCTAGCCAGCCCCTTCCATTCCCAAATGATCTCTGCTAGCCAGCCCCTTCCATTCCCAAATGATCTCTGCTAGCCAGCCCCTTCCATTCCCAAATGATCTCTGCTGGCCAGCCCCTTCCATTCCCAAATGATCTCTGCTAGCCAGCCCCTTCCATTCCCAAATGATCTCTGCTAGTCAGCCCCTTCCATTCCCAAATGATCTCTGCTAGCCAGCCCCTTCCATTCCCAAATGATCTCTGCTAGCCTGCCCCTTCCATTCCCAAATGATCTCTGCTAGCCTGCCCCTTCCATTCCCAAATGATCTCTGCTAGCCTGCCCCTTCCATTCCCAAATGATCTCTGCTAGCCTGCCCCTTCCATTCCCAAATGATCTCTGCTAGCCTGCCCCTTCCATTCCCAAATGATCTCTGCTAGCTTCTTTTTCAGGTACCATACCTCCTCATCAACGACTACACACCTGACCAAGATACGAACAATTTGAACGTGCTCATGTTGCCGCAGCTACTCCAAAAATGGGTCAAGCTTTATCGAAAATAAGCATTTTCTTTGCTCATTAATACGTCCCATTGACTGTGATCTCATTTTTGATAAATTTGCAATTTTTTACAGCAATACCACGTATTTTTGATACAAATTTATTCTGGTAGCCTGTAGTCTGTAGTCTGTAGCCGGAGAGGAGCAAAAGAGAAAGAAAACAGAGGCTTGTGCAAGCGTCAGTGGGCACAAAGTTAGGAGGGGGACAAGTGAAACGTTCAAAAATTAAGGCTCATTTGGGTGGGGTTTTTCGGGGTCTTTAAAGGCGCTGGGAAGGCAAAAATCGATGTATTTTGCAAGCCAGAAAACTTTTTTTAATTTTTTTCCAAAAATTTAAAATTTTTTTGTTTTCTATTTTTCCAAATTTGGGAAATTTTGCCTTCCTTGGTCCTTTAAATTGTAGTTTAAGCAGATTTCCGAGTTTTGTTTGGTTTTAAAGGGACCGGCAAAGCAAAATTTTGAGGGATTTTTCAACGCAAAAATGCAATTTTTTTTGGTTTTCGACTTTAAAAAAATCAGATTTTGCCTTCACCGCCCCTTTAAAACGGGCAGTTTTTAGGGAGAGCGAGAGAGCAGCGAGAGCGAAGAGAGTCTTAGAGAAAAAAGTGGCAGCGCGCGATTTTTGCTGGGATTTCATTTGTTGGGGAGGTGGAATGGACGACACACAACGACAATGACGACTGGGGGGAATGTCCGGGGCTCACCTTTTTTGGTGCTATTTTCGGAATACGGTGTTTGTCGGTATTTGCCGGGTTCTTGCTTAGTTTCCGGTCTGCACCGTCTTCTGCGTGTGCGTGGCGCGCTCCTCGCCGTCCTTGTTCAGCAGCGTGGTGACGACTGGAAAAAGGTTTTTTGGAGGGTAGGAGGATTTTTAGTTTTCCTCAATGATCTCTGCTAGCCTGCCCGGCAAAAATCCAATTCTTTAGCGCTTGATAGGTTTTAAAGGAGATCGATAACTTTCTGAATTCCTGAGTCCTCAAGGGTCTCTGCTAGCCTGCCCTCAAAATAAATGTAAAACCACAGAGCTTTGATCGATTGGAAACTTCATTTTTCCTCAAAAATCTCTACTAGCTTGCCCTAAAAGGGGATAAGTCTGCCCCGATTAGAAAAACATATTTCAGAACCACGGATGGCCCAAACTCATTGTTAACGGCTCTGAAAAAGCTAAAAAAACGGCGCGGATTGCTTTCCTCAATGATCCCTGCTAGCTTGCCTCCAAATCCTTAAAAAAACTAGGAAATACAGGACTTGTTGGATTCTAAAACACGTACCGTTGGCTCCGATTCCCCAGGTGTTCTCGAGGTCGTTGACGAGGGAATCGGGAGGGCTGTGGAGGCCACCCTGGTCACGGGCGTAGATCTGGAAAAAATATAGCTCAATACTGGTTTTTATTTGGCCGTAAATTCTCTCAAAATCTGTCGCTGCCGCGACACGCAACGCATTAGCCCCCTGGCAACGATATGCAACGCGTCGCCTGCTTCGCACGATACGCAACGCGTCAGTCGCTTTACAGCAACGCGCCAGTCACATGACCGCGACACGCAACGCGTCCGCCACTTGACAGCCATACGCAACGCCCCCGATCGTCTCATAATCCGCTATGAAATCGAGGTCCGACGCGCTGCACGTCGCGGCGCAATGACAACTTCGTAGAGAGGATGCCTTGTCAGTTCCTTTAAAGCAAGTCCCGTACCTTCATCGTGCGGCCGGCCTTGAGGGTGGTGTTGGCGGGGATGGTGTAGACAATCTCGCGGCGGTTGTCCAGCTTTCGCTTCAGCTTGTGCTCCCCGAGGTTCTCGTCCTGAAATAATGGCGTTAGAGACAGCGAGAAACAGCGAGAGAGAGATCGAGAGAGAGAGAGAGAGAGAGAGAGAGAGAGAGACAGGGAGGGAGGGAGCGCCCTACGTACCTTGGTCCTGTGGGTGTTCTCAAGGGTAATGAATTTTCCATTAGGATCGCACTCGGCGATCGTCACGTTGCCCTTGGCGGATCTGAAAATGAAATTAATTTATTTGCGAGAAGCGGGTTTCGAATTAAATGGCGTAATCGATTGAACCCTTACCGCTGGAAGGTGGTCTTGGTCGACACTTCTCCGCGAACATTTCGGGTGGAATCGGTGTCCTCCTGGGTCTGGAGCGAGTGCGTCTTCACGACCTGTTCGACCATCTGGCGGAGCCCGACGCTAAAAAATTGCATAAATTTGATGACTTCCTCGCTTCCCGGTCCTTTTAAACCCCCACTCACCGGCTCTCTTCTCCCTCCAACATCTTGCGGTAGATGGCAATCTCGGCGTCGAGCATCTGCTTGGTGTCGAGCAGGGCCTGCAGCTCGGCGACCAGGGTCTGGCACTCTTCGCGCATACGGCGGAGGGTCGCGTCGCGGTCGTTGAGGGCAAGCTCGTATTGTCGCTGGTCGTCTCCGAGCTAAAAACTGGTTAAAGCGGTTCCCAAGTGGCCTTTGCTAGCCTGCCCCTCCATTCCCAAATGATCTCTGCTAGCCTGCCCCTTCCATTCCCAAATGATCTCTGCTAGCCTGCCCCTTCCATTCCCAAATGATCTCTGCTAGCCTGTCCCTTCCATTCTCAAATGATCTCTGCTAGCCTGCCCCTTCCATTCCCAAATGATCTCTGCTAGCCTGCCCCTTCCATTCCCAAATGATCTCTGCTAGCCTGCCCCTTCCATTCCCAAATGATCTCTGCTAGCCTGCCCCTTCCATTCTCAAATGATCTCTGCTAGCCTGCCCCTTCCATTCCCAAATGATCTCTGCTAGCCTGCCCCTTCCATTCCCAAATGATCTCTGCTATCCTGCCCCTTCCATTCCCAAATGATCTCTGCTAGCCTGCCCCTTCCATTCTCAAATGATCTCTGCTAGCCTGCCCCTTCCATTCCCAAATGATCACCGCCCCGTTGCTCACCTGGTAGTTGAGGTTCTGGACCTCCTTCTCGAGCAGGGCATTCTTGTTCTCAAGATCTCCCAACTTTCCGCGCAGATCTCCAATGTTGTCGCGCATCCTCTTGACCTCCTCGCGCTGGTAGTTGCTCTCCATGGCTTGGCGGTTGGCGGATCCTTGCACCTCGGACACCTGAAAGCATGGGGTTAACGATTTTTTAGAGCCATTTCCCGCGATTTTAAAGGAACTAGGAAGTGCAATAATCGACCCCATTTCCTCGACTGGGTCTAGACAACTCCGTGAAACCCGAAAGCACCATTTTTCACAATTTCTGCGACTTATTTTTGTGAGCTATTTTTAGACGACCTATTTCCGTTCGGTTTCTATTTACACCCACACATTTTCCATTATTCCCTCGGAAATGCAAACACCCTCGGCATCCTTTTCAGGGCCCTTCCGTTCCCCCCTGGTTTCTTATCAAAAGTTTTAGTGTGCCTCATTTACGACACCCACCGCCCCGGCCAAATTCCGCAGCTAGGCCTAGCCCACGCACGGCCAATACGCGGATGGATGCAAATAGATAGGAATAGGAAAAAAAGTGAAAGTTTGGGCGAGTTTTAGGCTAAAAAGGGTAAATTCCTTTGGTAATTTTGCTAAAAAATGCCAAAATCACCGTACCTTGAGCTTGTACCAGCTCTCCATGTCCTGTTTGCCCTGCTTGGCAATGTAGTCGTACTCGTCCTTGATGTCTCTGAAAGGTTTTACATAGAAATGCAGGCAAAAATTTTCTCTCTGTCTCTCTCTCTCTCTTTGTCTTTCTCGCGCTCTCTCTCTCTCTCTTCCTCTCTCTCCCTCTCATTCCCTCTCTCGCTCTCTGCCTCTCACGCTCTCTCAGCCCCCCTCTCTCTATCTCTCTCCTCTTCAACCAACCTGATGGCGAGGGCGAGCTCGTTCTTGAAGAACTCGCGGGTGTCGGCGGGGGCCTGGGCGAGGAGGGCCTGGAGCTCCTTCACCTCTTGCTCGTGAACTCTGAAAATTTGCTTAAATCTTAGGGTATAAATTTTCAACAAACCTGCGCAAGAACTCGAGCTCCTCCATAAGGGTCTGCACCTGGTTCTGGAAATCGATGCGCCCGATCGTCTCCTCGTCGAGGTCCTGAAAAAAAGTTGATGCTCAGTCAGAGGAACTTGGTAGTGAGAGAGAGAGCGATAGAAAGGGAGAGCGAGAGAGAGAGAGAGCGAGAGAGGAGAGCGAGAGAGAGAGTGAGAGTGAGAGAGAGCGAGAGAGAGCGAGATTTTCAAAACGTACAGCGCGAGCCTTCTGCAGCTCCTCCCAAAGACGGGTGTTGTCGCCGTTGAGGCGCTTCTCCTCGTCGGTCAGCTGCTTGTAGCTGAAAATATCGGTTTGTTTGGCTTCAGTGGCCCTTTAAAATGCAGCTGAACGGCTCGAACGTGACACTTTCATCGAAAAATTAGCTAGGATATCTCCCATTAATGCGGCAATGGTTTTTATACGTTTTAAAGGAAGCGGCAACCCTAGAAAAGTTGACCTACCGAGCGCGGAGCATCTCGAGCTCGTTCTGGGCGTCGGCGATGGCGTTGGTCCACTGCTGGATCTTCTCGCGATCTCCCTCACGGCGGTGGCCAATGTCCTCATAGCTGAAAAAAGTTAATAAAAGTGATATAGACATTTTTAATCACGGAATTCTTGACTTTTCGAATTTTGGCACTGGAAGTGTGCCTTGCGAGCTACTTTAAATGCTCGTATCCACTGTTTTGCAGTAGAAATTCTCTCTTTCTCTCGCTCTCTCGCTTTCTCTCTCTCTCTCACTCTCTCTCTCACTCTCTCTCTCTCGAACTTTCTAAGCTTTACCCCCAATCGATCCAACAACTTTCCGTAATTTCCTAGAATTTGCGGTTGCCCCCAGGTTTAAAGGCTTTCGCGAGTGGCAAGCAAAAACTGGCAAAATTTGTTGGCCCAGGGGCTTACGCCGGGGCGCAATCGGCTTGGCCGGCTGGCCCGGCGGCGGCGCCCGTTTTTCGAAGCCCCGCAAAAAGTCGAAACGGGGCTGCCCCGGAAAAGCGGAACTGTCAATAGGCGGGGATTCGGGTGAGACAGGACTGAAGTTTTGGGGCCCGAGATATTGATGGGAATCGAGAAAAATCGATATTTTGTAGGCAGTAAAAAGCTACGAATCAACCCTTCGAGTGGACTAGGTATAGACAACTGCGCGACGCACCAAGCCTAGGCCTGAGCCTAAGCTTCAGCCTAAGCTTATGACTAGGCCGAAGCCTAAGTCTAAACCTAAGTCTACGCCTAAGCCGAAGCCTAAGCCTAAGCCTAAGCCTAAGCCTCGGCCTATACCTAAGCTGATGCTGAAGTCTAAGCCTAAGCCTACTCCTAAGCTTGTGTTAAGCTTAAGCCTAGGCTCCAGCATAGTCCAAGGCGAAGGCTAAGCCCAAACCTAAGTCTAAGCTTAAGCCTCTGAGCAAGCCATAGCCTAAGCTTTAGCCTAAACCGCCTAAAACCGATGGCGCAGTTGTTTTTTCTATTCTTCAGACCTAGTCATCGAAAATGACGATTTTTGCGCTTCTTAGTCTCTTTAATAAAATGAGACTTACCGAGCGCGGTACTCGGCGAGGTCGTCGCGCAGACGGGCGACCTTCACGTCGATCTCGGCCTTCTGGCGGGCGGCGTTGTCGATGTCTTTGCGAGCGTTTGAGAGCGAGTCCGAGTATTTGATCTGAAAAAAAAAGAAATAATTGGTTACGATATAAAATACGCTACGCTCCAAATTCCGCCCTCCACCGTAAGTAGTACGATTCCGTACTAATCCAATTCCCGGCCGTTCCCTAAACTGCGCCCCTACTACCCCCCATTCGGCTGTCCCCTTTATTTGTAGCCGGCGCAAATAGCGCGCCACGCATTGAATGGGCGAGAGAGCGAGAGAGAGAGAGAGAGAGAGAGCGAGAGAGCGGGAGAGTGAGAGAGTCAGCGAGAGAGAGAGAGAAACTCGTCCCCCGTGCGACTCGACTACGCTGCCCTGATACGGCGCTCGCCGCCATTTTTCCGGAAAAAGCGACAAAGCCACCAGCCAAAAAAATGCGCCCACAAAAAATGTGGGCGGTGGAAACTGATAGCAGGGTGGGCTTTCGGCTTTTCGGCTAAACGCTAAAGCCATTTTGAGGAGGCTAGAACCGTCATTTGGGCATTAGGCGGGATGGGTTGCGGTCTGATAGTACGGGCGGCTACGGTGTACTCGAGTACGGGATCGGAGCCGAGCGGAAAGCGCAAAAATCTGTAAAATTCGGGTAGTGAAAGAGACAGACAAAGTGAGAAAGCGAGCGAGAGAGCGAGAGAAGGTGAGAGAGAGCCAGAGAAAGTGAGAGAGCGAGAGAGCAGGAGAGTGAGAGGGAGAAGTAGAGAGAACCAGAGAAACGAAGCGAGGGAAAGAGAGCGCGGGAGAGAGAGCGAGAGGGCGGAAGATAGAGAAATACCTCAAAAAAAATCACCTTAATCTCGGTGGTGTCCTTTCCCCACTTGCCGCGCAGCTCATCCAAATCGGTGACGAGTTTCCGGTTCTGCTCCTCCAGCTTTTTGACGCGGTCGATGTAGTTGCCCAAACGGTCGTTCAGACCCTGGAAAATATATTGAATTTCATGTAGTAATCCAATCGTTTTAATTCCAATAAAAACTAAAAATAGGCGCTCAGTCGAAGAACAGATTTTTCAAAGATTTTAGGTTTTTCGAAAATACAGCTAGGCTAATTAAAATTGTAAATTAAATCTCGTACCTGGAGCTCCTTCTTCTCCTTGTCGGTCGACTCCAAGAAGCTCTTGGCGGCGTTGGCCGACAGGGCGGGTGAGATACCGCCGATCGTGGCGGAGCCCATCTCGGTGACCATCTTCAGGACGCGGCCTAAAAAGCAGATGATATTTGGGTATTTAATTTGCATCTTCTATCGCTAAGTGTGGTTCTAATTAACTTGTCTTTTATTGTATGTTCTTGCGTTGTAAAGGGTTAGTAAAGCCCAAAATTTTACAAAATTTATTTTTTACGTTATTAAAATGGTCCAATGCCGATTTCAAGGGCCATGGAAGCCAATCGGTGGTTTTTAAAGGGACACTGAAGTAATTTTTCATGAGCACGATTGTTCTTATTTTAAAACGACAAGTTAGTAATTCTATAGTTTTCTGACATTTTAAAGGCCCCTGGAAGTCAAATTCTACACTTTAAAGGGTCATTGAAGTCAAATGGACGCTTTTTATGGCCTCGAAAGTCATTTTAAAGGGCTCTTGACATCAAAACCACGCACTTAAAAGAAAATTTAAGTAAAATCTACGCTTTTAAAGGACCATTGAAGTAAAACTGATGCTTTTCGAGGCTCGGGAAGTCATTTTAAAGGGCTATTGAAGCCAAATCTTGCGGAATCAGAATCCACAGCATTTTAAAGGAGCTTTGAAGTCAATTCCCCCTTTTAAAGGCTCACTGCAGCCATTTCCACGATTTTAAAGGCCCACTGAAGTCCCTCCCTGCACTCACTTGATCCATACGAATTAGCACGGCCCGGATAGGTGGCCAACGGAACCCTGGGGCTACGCAGGGACCCAGTCGGGGTGTACGTTCCGGCGTAGGGAGAAGCCCCTCCACCGATCCCTCCACCATTCCCTCCACCAATCCCAGAATCCGAAGGTGTAGCACCCCCGCCAAGGGTGTGAATAGGAGTGTACGTAGCCCCTCCACCAATCGGATTGCCCAGATCGCTACGGTACGAGGCGCCGCCACCAATTCCGGACGTGGAACGGCGATCCGAGGATGAGCTCGACGACATGTGCACCGACTTGCTGGAGGTGTACATGGCCTGGCAAGAGAAGTGTTAGTAAGGAGGAGTGGAGTGGAAATTTTTGAGGTTAGTGAGGTCGAGGAAAACGTTTCCGATCGCATGGAGGCCGATATTTTCGAAGTACACGAAAGTAGAGGATTTTGCGACTAAAAACGTTTTTGAAAAGCACTTTAAGAATATTTTTAAAATTACTTTTCAGCGGGTAAATCTGTTGAAAAATTACATATTATCCTTAAATTATAACTCTACCTAAATTTCTCAAAAAAATTATAATCTAGCTGCCAGCATTATGAGAAAGAGTTTATAAAATTTGCATAATCCAGGAACTTTAAAAGCTCAAAAACAGTAAAATGTAGGACTATTCAGCAGGTTTTTGTCTCCAAAAACATCTAAGAGTGAAAAGGGACGTTCAAACGCTTAGAATTTTTTAAAATCACGGATATTCGGAATTCTTAGTTTAAAAATTCACAATCAGCATTTCAAGCATTTAATTTTTCGAAGTAAAGCCAATTGTAAGAGCTTTAAAAACCAATAAACAAATTCCGCCGAAAATAACCTCAAAAAAAAACTTCAATTTGATTTTTCAAGCCAAAAAGAAAGATTTGTTAAGATGGGTGTATTTTGAAAGAAGGAGAGATTTTACCAAGGCCGTTAAAGAAATAATAAAAAAAATCTGAAAATAAGAATTCGAGAATTCCTAACAAGATGAAGCCGTAGTGTCACTTGCCGGCCGGCCGGAAAATCGGTGCGAGCGCATTGCCGACCACCTATCTCTTCTGAATAAGGGCCGGGGCGCTTATCAAGTGAAGCAAGTCGGTGAGAAGGGGGTCCATAAACACCGGCATCTTCTTCTTCTTATGCTGTTTGTCTGTCTGTTAGTATCAATTTGTTTCTTGTTCTCTAATTCTCTCTCTCTCTCTCTCTGTCTCTCTCTCGCTCTCTCTCTCTGTCTCTCTTTTGCTCTCTCACTCTCTTGTTCTCTCACTCTAGCAGTCTCTCTTTTTTACTCTCTCTCTTTCTCTCACTTTCTCTCCCTCTCACCCTCTCACTCTCTCGCTCTCTCTCTCTCTCTCTCTCTCTCTCGCTCCCTTCCGCAACATTCCAAGTTATGAGTAACACTTCCACCCCCAAGTATACCCAGTCACACGGGCTTAACCCCCCCCTCCCACAGACGTCCCCAGCCTGTGATAATCTGCTTTACTGTTTTTTTCTTTTTTTTTCCTGACCGAGGCGCTTGGACTGACACTTGGCACCTTGCGTTCTACTCACGTCTAGGCCTCCAAGAAGTTTTGGGATGTTTTAAAGGGACCAGGAAGGCAAGAAAAAAGTCCAGTCTCTCAGAAATTGTCGGGCCAACTAGCAGAGGCCCTTTTGGAAACTGTCAGCCGTTTGTAAAGGGATGGTGACACGAAGCTATGACAGAGTGGTAGTCCAGGTAATGTTGAGAAGTCAAGAAAGCCCAGAACAGTCCAGTATTTTGGCGGGTTCCCGCTTTTCTTACCTCCAGAAAGCGGAACCGCCAAATCCTCCATCGACTTCCTCATCTCCTCGATGCGGCTCTCGACTACGTGTCTTTCCTCGCCCATCGTTTTACTAATGACTAATTACGATCGATGGACCATGAGAGAGAGAGAGAGAGAGAGAGAGAGAGCGAGAAAAACATTATACCGACATTTTTCGCCTTATTTTTCAGAAAGAGCGCGAAAGAAAGAGCGCCTTATTTTTCTGAGCTTGTCGATAACTCGAAGTTTTGAGTAAAAAACGGAATCCTGGATGATCAAGAGGGTTAAAAAGACGAAAAATGGAAGAAAAATGCGTAAGTTTTTTTGTGGTGGATTTCTAAAGAGACCATTCAGCTTTAGAATCGACCTCTTCCATCGACTAGGTCTAGACAGCGAAGCGAAACGCTTACGAGCGCTGCATTTTGCTAAAAATATCTATCAAAATAAAAATAAAAGACGTTTCTGTGTGTCGTAAACTTAGTCGAGACCCAGTCGATGGCAAGGCTCAATTCTGGCGCTTCCTGGTCCCTTTAAAACCGATAAAAAAATCGTTAAAAGGACGACTAGGCGCTAGGAATTAGTCACATCGCGTAGTGGCGAGCGTGTGTATCTGGGTGTGGAAGGGGGTTGAGTGGTGGGGAGCTCGAGCTCCCCGCAATCTTGCCCCCTCCACCCACATCCATATAGATAATGATCGGTGATGGCCTATCGATTATCCCGGAGCGTCGCCTCCTCATCTCTCTCTCTCTCTCACTCTCTCTCTCGCTCTCCACATCTTAGTGACACCCTGGGCGTGGCCGGGATCTCCGGAGGAGGAGCAGCACCCTTTCTCGTACACACCCGTTTTTCCTTTCCTGGCCGTGTGCTGACTGACCGTCCTGAGTAGTGCCACGGAAATCTTGGGGGGGGTGAGTAGCCGGGGATTTATGGGGTTACGAAAAAGTTTTTGAGCATTTTTGGGTGAAAAAAGTGCTGATGGCTGGCGGACGCCGTCATTAGGAAAAACCCGTAGCAAATTTATTGAAAATTTTTTAAAGGGGCAGGTTCGGTTAAAAAGATCTCAAAAATCCAGGCTTCTGGCAACAGTGCCGAATTTTGATAAAACTGAGCTTAGGCTTAGGCTTGGGCTTCGACTTGAGCTTAGGCTTGGACATAGGCTTAGGCTTAGGCATCGATTAGGCTAGGCTTAGGTCTGGGCTTAGGCTTTGCTTAGGCTTAGGCTTAGGCTTAGGCTTAGGCTTTGCTTAGGCTTAGGCTTAGGCTTAGGCTTAGGCTTAGGCTTAGGCTTAGGCTTAGGCTTAGGCTTAGGCTTAGGCTTAGGCTTGTGCTTAGGCTTGTGCACAGGCTTAGGTTTGTGATTTTTCGAAACCTTAAGCTTTTCTTGCCTTCTCGGCCCCTTTAGAACGCCCACCTAAACCTCCCGAACGCCCCCAGGCAATGGATACTGAGCCCAGTTTTGCAGCGTTTAGCCCGAACCTCCCACAGTCACCCTCCACCGACCATAAATTGGCGCATGAAACCGGCTGCACCCCCCAATAAATCTGGGTGATGCTGAATGAGGAGAGAGAGAGAGAGAGAGAGAGGGAGAGAGAGAGAGAGAGAGAGAGAGAGAGAGAGAGGGAGGGAGAGAAACGAAACCCAAGAAATCACGATAGCCGCGCGAGTCGACCCCCGATCGAATTCCCGTAGATGGGGAGTGGCACTCTGAGCGAAAAAACCGTCAGGGGGCACTGACTCAACTGCTTGAAACCTAATCGGGGATACGCCCAACAACAAGGTATCAACATCTAGCAAAAAAAACGCAACGGAAAAATTATTTTTTACTGATTTTAAAGGCACTATAAAGCGCCAAATCGACCCTATGATAGACTAGGTCTAGACAATCCCGCGACATGCGAAAACCTGTTTACAAGGATATTTCGTTATTTTTGTGCGCAAGGGCCACTTTCCTAGAAGTTGTCGAGCAGTTCGATAAGCATTTTCAAATATCGTAGAACTGTCTAGACCTAATCGATCGAAGGAAGGGGTCGATTTTGGCACCTGCACGCCCCTTTAAAGAGCTGGCAAGGCAGTCATAACATTTCCTCAAAAATATCTGCTAGCTTTCGCCTCGAAATTAATGATCCGATTCCTCAAAGCTCCGCTAGCCTGCCCGAAGTCTTAGTTTCGAATTCCGCAAGAATCACTGTTATAAGAATCTGGATTTTACGACTCACCCGAGCTCGTTTTGTGGAGTCCGTTCATCTTCGGAATATTATCGCGTTTTTTCACGTTTTAACGCTTCAAAAGAAGTAACCTTCACAAGCTTAGTGCAAGCTTTTGAAGAAAAAATGGAGTCTGTAGCTGCGAGCCCGACTTCAAGCAGTTCAAATAGGCCAAATGAAGGGTTGCCGAAAATCTCGACTCGATCAGAATATAGCAACCAACGCGGACCGGCAAAACATGCGTTGATGTCGGGGCCGAGGAGGAGAAGGGTGGGGGGGACACACTTCTCAATGTTTATTCTTTCTTTCCTGGGCCCAACACTACGGCAGAAGGCTCTGTTTTCTTGTCCCCGACACGTTGGCTGGGGTACTACACGTCTCTCTCTCTCTCTCTCTCTCTCTCTCTCTCTCTCTCTCGCTCTCTTTTCTATACCTCTCTCGCGCTGTCTCGCTCTCTCTTCTTAAGGCCCAGATCGCATCTCCAAACCGTCAGAATTGAGAGCCTGCAGATTTGTCTGAGATCCGAGCGTTTTTTTGATCATCTGGTTTCCGATGGGCTAGCGGAGATTTTTAGGATTTTCTTGAGATCGGGCAAGCTAGCAGAGATCATTTGGGAATGGAAGGGGCAGGCTAGCAGAGATCATTTGGGAATGGAAGGGGCAGGCTAGCAGAGATCATTTGGGAATGGAAGGGGCAGGCTAGCAGAGATCATTTGGGAATGGAAGGGGCAGGCTAGCAGAGATCATAGGGGAATGGAAGGGGCAGGCTGGCAGAGATCATTTGGGAATGGAAGGGGCAGGCTAGCAGAGATCATTTGGGAATGGAAGGGGCAGGCTAGCAGAGATCATTTGGGAATGGAAGGGGGCTGGCTAGCAGAGGTCATTTGAGAGTAACTTTTTAGCTCAATTGCTCTTAAAAAATACAGTATATGTCTCCTACCATACCCTCGGGTTTCTTCTGCTTGTCGAGCTGCTCAGCGTACTTCGAATAATATTTCCACCACGGCTTCATGGCTATTTAGGTGGTGCAGTCGTTTTGTTATTTGGAGCTGTCCGGAATATGAGTCGATTCAACAAATATTTGATACGACGCTTTAGTATCCTTTTTTGGGGCCTTTTTAGTATCTCGTTGCCCTGGGCCGGGAATATAAAAAACCGGCCGATTTTGCTGTGGGGGGGGTGTGGAAAAGTTGAAGCCGCCGAGTTGGCAGACAAAAAGCCCGGGTGTGAATCGGCCCCAGCGAGTTTTATTGTAAATTCGGTGTGTCAGTGTTTTTCACGCGTTTCCGGCGTTTTCTTGAGGAATTTTT